AACCACCATTTTGTACATCTCAACTAGTCAGGTTATTTTGCTTCATGATGAGCTACCTTCTGTAGCTGTGTTTGAAACAAGAAAAGGGCGTCTTGGACTTCATGAGAATATAAAGCTCATTTTGATACACCGAGCAAATGTGCTGCCACTATGCATCTGTGCATGTAGCCTTGAACATCTGACAGCAGAAGAACTGAGAGGAGATAAATTTTATTGAAGGTCCCTCATTGAAAATGTCTGCTGTAGTGTCCTGTCAATTGACCCAAAGTTCTGATGTCTGGAATTCCTCAGCTGGTTGAGAAATGGTCTCTCCTCCAGACAGATGCTACGTTTTGCATTTCAAAGGTGAAGAACCAACAAGAAATAGAAGTTTGGAGACTGAAACCCCTTCATTTATATATCTCACTCTAAGGTTGGTTTTGAAGGCTATTTGCACAATTAGTCTGCAAAGTACTTCTGGTTGTTTCAGTTGACAGTGCATGGATGCTGCACAATAAGCAGCAACAGTTTGTTGTCTAGAATATATACAGCTGAAGAACTCACCTGGGTGTATTGTAGTGCTTTTTTTTTTTTTTTTTTTTTTCTAAAAAGCTTAAGGGAGTTGCACTTCTCAGCAATAGAAAACTTAGCCCTCAGTAAATAAAAGGCTTTAAGTCCAGGGAAAGAATACTAGCTAGAAGCAACACCTATCACATTAAATTTGTTTTACTTTACCCTTCTTTCTTTAATATTATCAACAACATATTTTTCTGCATCCATTAGGTCAGCAATTCAAAGTTAAAACTGGAAGGTGTGTTAATAATAGGGAAAACTTTAAAGTGAGGATGTCCTAGAGAGATGAAGTTAAAAACTATCCCCAGAATGTAATTTTATGTATGTGAATGTATATACATGCATATATATTTTCTAGATGTAAAATATATTATTAATTAGTAAATATGTTAGGTATCTTTAAGGGTATTTGTACATGTTTAAATGTTGCATCTAGGATTACATATAACTACCAGACTAGTTGTGTGTAACATGTCTGGGAGACTTCCTTATTGTTTGTTTCCCTTCTGTAGCTCACACATCTAGAGATTTCTAGCCTCTCAGTTGATGTTGGTCACTAAATCTACTGACCTGTTTCACATGTGGGATTGCCTGGCCCTTAGCGGGAGAATGAAATCTAAGATGCTGCCTTTTATACCTGAGAGTCCAGATTGTATTAGCCAGTATGCATAAAGATATAAGGTAAATTGTGGGGGGAAGGCAAGAAAAAAACAATCATTGTCACTCCATGAAATTATACAATACTGGAAATTATATAAAAAATGCATAGTTTTAGGATATTAGCAGAAGTTCATAACAGAACCTCTGTAAGCTTTCAGGAGAGATTAAAGTTTTGCATTGAAGGCCAGTTTTAGAGAAGTAATTCCCTACTAGGCAGGTCTTTTCTTTGTTCCTCTGACTGAAGCAAAACAATATCCAATTACCTCAGTTTTATACAGTTTTATGAAGCTAAATTCTATCTTTGCTTGAGTAGACACACCCTGAATCTCTGGGAGGAAAAGCCTTGAACTGCTACGTTTGAGTTGGTACAACTCCCTTCCTGTTGCTATTAATAACTATGAATATATTAAATCATTAAAATAAAACAAAAGAAACAGCTGTCGGTTGTTGCCTTACGTTGCTTTTAAGACATTGATTATTTTAATAATAATGTATAATAAAACTGCTTGTAAGACATATTTCAATATTAGATAGAATCTTTGAAATTCAGCACAGGCTCCACCGTCTCTGCCATGGTAGGTGCACGTGTGATGTGCCCAGTGGAGTCCGGCTATAAATGCTGTTGTGCTACATATGGATTGTCTTGCCCCTATTTTCTAAAGTTAAACAGTGAACTTGATTATTTTTTAATCTGTTAAATGTGTTTTTACAGCCTTTTTCATGTTCCCAGACACTTGTCAAATCTTGGTCTCATGTATTTTGAAAATGTTTATGAAACTCTAAATGTGGGAGGGATTTCAAAGCAAAGCTAACAAACTCTGTTGTCTCATTTAAAAATCACACTTTGGTGAATAGTTTGTGTAATTATTGTGGTAATAGTAAATGTGAGCTTCTTATCAGAATGTGTTCAACTGCCTAGATAAGTGATAAGATTGTGAGTTTTTTTTGTTTTTAAATGTAAACTGAAATAATACCACAAACAGTCTGAAATACTCAGGATCAGAGTCTTAAACATGTGGAATTCATTGTTTGCAACTCAGCATTTTCCAGCTGCTGCAGATACACACTTCTAAGAATAGTGCAGAGTTTTAAATCCCACTCAGCCAACTGTGTTGGGAATTTTTAGCAGGGTTCTGAGAACCTGCTTTCCTGGTTGTGTAGTTTGGCTGTGTTTCATTAAGCAGGAGCAAATACCTCGTAACCAGGGACAAATCCTGGGGAAACTGGCAAAACCCACTTGGATACTGTGCTGTCCACAGTGAGGTAAACTGTATGACATACTCTTCTGATTCTTGTTTGTTATGATCTTGGAGGCCTCAATAGGATTGCAGAGCAAAATTAGGGCTTTACAGAATTTTTTTGGTGAACACTTAGTTCCAGGTGTAGTTTTTCTGGGTACAAGTGCTGCTGGTGGATGCCTTGAAAGTATAGATTATTTGGTCTAGAAGAGACAGCTGAAGCAGGAATTCCTTAGGAGAAAAGCTTTCTTCTGGAGTTGGAGGTGGTGAAGCTGTCCAGCAAGTTTCCCTAATGACCAACCTCTTGTTTGCAGGCAGAAGAATGAGAGTTGTGTGGGTTACATCAGTTGATTCCCATCTCCTGAGGCATGGGCAGAGCACTCACCTGGCTCCTCTGGAAGCTGCCTAACCAGCCTGTGCCTGTAGCAGGGTCTGCTCTCAGCACCACAGCTCAGGTGTTCTGCAAGATGGGATGAATCTTATCTGATAGCTTTCAGGAGAGCAAAGAGGAATTACTGCTTTCTCCACCCACACTTTCACTCACATTTTCGAGCCACTTGCCTTCCTCTGACTACTCTGTGAACCAATTTAATTTGCTAATCTGTCAGAAAAATATCCAAAAATACCCTACAGCTTCAAATCCATGAGTGTCTGCTGTGCAAGTGAGCTGAATAGGCTCAATGGGAGAAGAGAGAAACAGCAGCATTAAGGGTAAGAAGGAATGGGATTCTGGCAAGAGAAGAAAGGTGGAGGAAATAAACCTTTTGGCAGCAGTGGATTGCTAGATAAACTTGGCCACTTTGCAGACCTCAGGCTTACCCTAGTGCAGTGGTCCAGGGACCACGAGAGGCCTAATACTGATGTGTATAATAAGCACACATGCTTAGTTATTTATCTGAAACTTGAAACTGCTGTGAAAAGAGGATGACTTCAGACTCTGGCAATCCTTCCTGGCTTCCAGATATTTTGCCCTGTGGGTGGGCAAAAAATACCCCACATACAACTTGTTTTGCGTAAGACTTTCCAAGTATTCATGGAAAAAACCCAAGAAAGATAAGATTATACAAAACTTAATGGTTAGAAGAGCTGTTGAGATTATTTAAGGCAGGTAACACTTGCAGTTTTTCTTCAGAGAAGGCCACCTACTTATTTTCTGAGTAGCTTGTTCTTCAGAAGCAGTGGCTGAGAAACTCTCAACTTGTCTGTCATTCAGACAGTTAACTTCAGCTGTCCCTTGTTCGTTTGCAGTGCTGGGTAGGTCATCTGAATAACACAGGGACGGGCTGAAGGGCTGACCTCTGCTGCCTGGAGTGCCAAGCGAAAGCAGCTGAAGCTTGAACAGTCATCTGGATGCCTGAGAGAGTATGTCACCAACTTACGTTTTTCTACAGATCCAACTATTTCACTTCTGCTGCTCATGGTACCATATATTTACTTAACCTCTTCCCTTAGAGTGGTGATTATTAACTAGTTGTGAAAGAACTTTTGTCTAATATAGTTGCCTTTTTTTGGTAAGATTTATTTGAGTGTGCATTTTTTAACAGAAAGGTAATACTATCTTTTCACCTGAATCTGAAGTGGATTCTCTGAGTATCTCACTAATTGCTTGGTATTCATATAAGGTGAAATTACATGAGAAGTTAGAATTGATACAAAATTTGTGTGGTGCTGAGCAGCTTCCTGCTTCTCTCTGTCATGGACAGATATTCCCACGGTTTACTTGGCTGCCTGCTTGTTGAATCCACTCACTGGACTGGCAGGGAATTACCAAGCAAAAGGTGACTATTGATGAGCTAGAGTGAAATCATTGCCCAGAGAAGTCTGAGTCCCAAAACAGGAAAAGGGGCTAGTCAGGTAATTTCTTATTTCCCAAAGTAATAATAGCTTGTTGTAAAGGGGATCTAGCTATACTGTCAGACTTTGAGCCTGTGGAGTTAGGAGACTTCAAGAAGCCAGTTCTTGGGGTTTGCATTAGAAACAATCCACATTTTTTTCTTGTAATCACCACTGGATTGAATGCATTTGATTTTGGTGTTTGCAGGAAAAATCAAGAACACTCCAGCAGTTTGAGTTAACTGCTGTGATTTTTTAAATTTAGTTGGTCTTTTTTTATACTTGTTTTGGCTAATGCAGCTCAGGATTGTAATAAGAAATTGTAACTGTCTTATGGCTGCTCAGTGTTTGTATGACAAGTATTATACTCATTTTCCAGTGAACCATCAGCAATGGGAGTAGAACCAAGGAATGAGTAGCACATGCAGTGATCTGTCCTCCCACTGAAGGAACACCACGTGTCAGTGTAAGTATCAACATATTTTCATACAGTCTACACTTCAAGTGCCTTTAAAAGTTCAATAATTATTCATACAGGGAGATTTTTTTCTACTGAGATTCAAGAGTGTTCTTTATGTAAATACCCTTTCTCTAATTGTATGAAATGTAGGTTCATATTAACACCTGATTCTCTTACAGGGCAGTCACTTAGAGAAGTATTGCTTGCAAATTATACCATGAATCATAATACCTGTTGCACTGATTTATTGTTGAGTTATTTAATGTCATTGCTCAGAAATTGAAGAGCTGAAGTTAGACAGATCAAACAATTTAAATAACACCAATTTGGA